ACTGAGTGGTGGGACACAGACTGAGTGGTGGGACACAGACTGAGTGGTGAGACACAGGCTGAGTGGTGGGACACAGACTGAGTGGTGAGACACAGGCTGAGTGGTGGGACACAGATTGAAAGCTGAGACACAGGCTGAGTGGTGGGACACAGACTGAGTGGTGTGACACAGACTGAGTGGTGGGACACAGACTGAGTGGTGGGACACAGGTTGAGTGGTGAGACACAGGCTGAGTGGTGGGACACAGACTGAGTGGTGGGACACAGACTGAGTGGTGAGACACAGACTGAGTGGTGAGACACAGACTGAGTGGTGGGACACAGACTGAGTGGTGAGACACAGGCTGAATGCACGCGTTGACTGCACGGACAACTCCACACAGAAAGGCAGATTGAGTGCACACCGGGAGCGCACCAAGCAGGCGAACTAACATCGACACGCAAGAACCACGCACGCGGCATCTGCACAGACGTCCCCCAGCACGCGCACAGTCACGCGGGCGAACGCAGCAGACATGGTCCCAGTTGGCAGACGGACACACTCCACCGCAAGCGTCGGACAGGCGGAAAACGCCAAAGAAATTAACCGCTGGAGAGGGGAAGAGGGCAAGGCAGGGGTGGTTGAGTTGGGGGGTGGTGCGTGGAGGACACTGACATCGTTACGAGTGGAGGAGGTGCGGGAGGGACACAGAGGGAATAACTGGAGTTAGGAGAGGGAGGAGAAGGAGTGCTGCCCTGTGACTGATGAACTCTGAGGTATGCATAACAAATCCCTGGCAAGGAGAGGTGCAGGCATGGGGGCTGCCGGGCCGGAGAAAGGGGATCTCTGCCGCATGGAATGCTTTCTCTGCCTGCCTGCAACGCCCTATGACCCCCATTCAGGGTGGGGGTGGGGGGGAGAGAAAAAGGCAACGCACAGAAACTGTGCCACGGGAAAAACAGTTTTGCTTGTTTTGGTTTTGTCGCGAGTAAAAGGCGACGTTTTGCTGAGACCACTGCGGGATCTAAGGCAGCTGTGTGCTTCACATGAAAGGCGACGAGGCTGTGGTGGAGTTGCTAAAAGTGGCTCCTGACAGCCCTTATTTCAGGTGCCGTCTCCCGTCGCACAGGGAAGTCGCGTTAGCCCTGGGAATTTTGCTGTTCGCTCGCCAAAAGAGTGGCGAAGTTTTATTTTTAACGTACAGGGAAATGTTGTTAAATGTGGTCGGTTAAGTCATCTCACCCCCCTCACACACTCACGTAGCCATACACAAAAAGACAAAGGTCCCCCGTGTAGTCTTGACTGTTGGGCCAAGTGCTGTCAGCGAGTGCAGTGCCTCTTGGCAGGCTCGCGTGGCACACGAGGCGTTGTGGCCAGCACTGTGCCCGGGCCGTCTTTGTCTCCCCCAGTGCTGATGCTTACACAGTGCACCAGGTCCTCGTTGTTGAGGATGAGTCCATCTAGGGAAGATTTGGGGACCGGTTTAAATATACTCGGCCACAGATTGTTAGCCGTGGCTGGGAATTAAACTCATGTGGCTGGGTTCGTGGATCAACAACTCCAGCACTCGCCGACATATACACGCGCGTGCTGTACTTGCTCATATATACACCCTACAACAAAGGTCCCCCGTGTAGCCTGAGCAGACTGTTGGGGCAAGTGCTGTTAGCGAGCACCGATGAAGGCCGGCACGGCACACGAGGGGGTGGGTGTCCAGCACCACGCAAGGCCGCATGTCCCCTCGTAGCGAAGTTTACATATGGCACCAGGAACTCCTTTGAGGCTGAGTCGACCTAGGGAGGCCCATGCCCGGTTCAGATAATCGTCACTGGTGAGCAGGAATCGAACTCGGGTCGCCGGGTTCGTAATCCACCGGGTTACAACTGGGAACCCGGTGAACGCAAATATATGCGTTAAAGTCACACGCACAAGCACGCGGTGTCCACAGCTTGCGTGGAGGAACACGCACGCTTTCAGGGGGAAGGTGCTCACAGACCAGGGAATTTGTTGCAAATCCCAGTGACTTTTACTCATCTCGTTGTTCTCATTTCTGAAACAAGCCGCCGAGCGTACTGAGCCCCCACAGCAACACACGTATCCTTTGTGTGAGAAGGAGAACGGAGAGAGCACCGGATGGGCAGAAATGCGTACAAGCCCCCCCCCCCCCCCTGCTCCCAAACGGGCCGTGATTTTGGATTGGGAGCTCGGCCCGCCGCCAGTCGGTGCGAGGTTATTTGTGTTTGTGCCGCGGCAACCACCAGGACCTTCCCGTCTGTCTTCACGCTTGGCCGGGTGGCTCGGTTTCCACGCTGTTTGTACAGCTGGGAGCCATAAATGCCCCTTTCCTCAGACTCCAAACCCTCGCACTCACTCACTCGCTACATCCAGCCTGCCTACGCACGCCTTATTTATTTGATTTAACTTTTTCGCTTCTAAGGAAAATATTACTTCGCGACCACGAGGATGAGGATGGTAATTGTGAAGCGGACAGGACGTTGTGGCCCAATGCTATTTGGGCTGCTCACACCCGAGACGAACAAACGAGACAAATCAATTGGCATAACAGGCTCGGAACATCAGGAAGCGCTACGATAGCATCGTCAGCGTCATGCGTAGACATGGGAATGTTTTCTCAAGTTATTTCGTGCTGATGACTTGAAACGGCCTCCTTCGTATTTGTGTTGATGGCGGCCGGTGATGAGGGTGTCTTGGGAGGCACCATCACTTGGACAAATACCACGGCACTGTGGCTGCACGGCTGGGTGGCTGCACGGCTGGGTGGGCAGACGCATGTGCGAGTGGGTGGCTGGCCTGGCTGGCTGGTTTCATGGGTGGCTAGGTCGGTGGCTGGTTGGCTGAGTGGATGGCTGGTTGGGCGTAAAATTGATTGGGTAAGCAGCTGGCTGGCTCGCTCGCTCGCTGCCTGCGTGCGACTGGTTGAATGAGAGGGTGGTGTCATCGCTGGGCAGTGGTGTAGCTGACCGAGTGTGCAGGCGGTGCAACTGCACCAGGGCCCGCGGGTTACAGGGCGACCCAGGCGCCCCACGACGTAGAGGCAGGGACATGTGTCAGGGAACCCCATCCAATTGTTGTAATGTTATTACCCACCTCTACTGGGAGACAGGCTGAAAAAGAGCTGTACAGCTCATCGAATTCCTCCATTATAAGTATTCTGATTCTGAATGCCTCGCACCAGGGCCCATGCCAACCGCGCTACGCCACTGTAGCTGAGATGGCTGACAGGTTTGGTGACAGGTTATAATACAGCTGGCTGGAGATGGCATCATAGCCTCACAGTTTGCGCTTCACGGTTTATCGACTCTGTATCTTTAGCTAGTGCTCGTGTCTCTCAAATAAGACTGTTTGACTCCAATGGATCGTGGGAAGCTTCTGCCACCGTCGCAGCCAGCAGCTGGTGGCTTCCAACCAGCTGGCATCGCACACTCGCGGTGTTACACCAGCTGCGAAAAACCCTGGGACCGAGCGCCATCGAAAACTAGACCGCCGCTTCGCACACAGCCACAGAGCACCCGGCGATCGCGTTGTTTAGAATTCCGCGTGTTCTGCCCTGCGTACGGAGGGCGATCTGGTTACGGCTTAAGCCTCAGCTCTCACTGCCTTGGAATGCCCGCGTGCCTCGGTGTGCCTGCCCTGGGTAATGCGACCTATTCTGTTAACAAATATGTATTGTCGTCTGTTTTCTAAAGGGTGTGTGCTTTTTCTTTGTTTCATTCTTTCACAACGTACTTGGGGGAAATCGCCATTGCCAAACAGGCAAGGCAGGTTTTTTTTACAATGTATTCAATTGGCCTCGGTGATTTCAGCAATTGTTGAATTTGTAACTGTGGGAAGGTGTTTTTGTGAGTGGCATGGGAAGGCAGTGGCCGTTTGTGCTCAGACTCGCTACATTATGAATTTTGCACTTGTTTGAAAAAAAAAATGCACGCGTCACTGCATTTTTGGTTGATGGCGTGCTAGTAACTACGAAAGAATTTGCGTAACGTGGGGCCTTTTGCCAAAACAAATATTATACTGCATATAATAATATAATTATGTTTACTTAGAATGCACAGAACGATTATGAAGAGAATTAGAAGGGGAATCAGAGAACGTATCAATTATTGAAAATGTCAAAGCAAGCAATGAAAGAATGAGAACAGCACAGGAGGCTGACAGTTGATGAATCGCAAACGGTAGCCCTTAGGGAGCTATATTGAACAATAACACATGATAGGGCGTAAGGAAAAGTGGGGCATGCGTGTGGAATTACTCTGAAGGACAAGAAAAGGAAGACATGGATTTAAGAAGAAACGCAAAGTAGAGACGTCATATAGACTGTAAAAAAAACAATCGACGGCAGTTGGTCCAGACTAGGGGTCGGCCACAAAAACAAGAGCCATCTTTTTACAAATTTGGTAAAGCCACTCAATATTTCAAGAGCCTTAAAAAGCCCCGTGTGGCCCCCGGTCCAGACTAACAATGGAAACGCAGCCAAAGGAGGAAGCACGCCCGAGAGGACATGCAGTGGAGATGTAAGAGAGTTAAATCAGCTCACGTGCAGGAGCTAGACGGATGATGGCATTGCAAGGCTATGCGTGAGAGATGACTACCATATGTATGTTGAACTTCTTACGCACTGTACGTAGCCAACCATGCTAAGCGGAGGTGTGGGGGAAGGACAACAAGCTAAACACAAAAAGCAGTTCTAAAGAAATTAGTTTTCAATTTAGATTTCAAAGGCATTGCTCCATTTGTTTCCTAATATCTGGAACGCTCCACTGCTCGATGAAGGCTTATACAAACGGCCGCATCATGCAGCAGTGGATAATCATGGCTTATGATACAAATCGTTTATATTGCTTATCAAGACATGGCGAAGTTATGGTTGTGTAGATTTATCCATTTCACAAAGTTTTAGCAAACCACTGTTTATCCTTAAACCAACACACTGCATTCGTTTGTTACTTGAGCAATGCCCTCCTGCCCCACACAACCCACAGGTCACTGACACAAAATGCAACTTCTAAGTTATTGTTTATTTTCATTTCACGCTGAAAGCCACACCGTGGAATTTCACACCAAACAGCCGACCTGTTGATGTCTGTGCAGGTGTTCGCCCATTCAGTTGTGTGTCAGGTTCAAGCAGACTCGCTGAGCCAATGGCTACTACTACTTTTAAAATGGACACTATGGGTGACAAACGTCAAACTTCAGAACAGCTGTATTGTTTGCACAATATATCTTGGAGACATTGAACCTTCAGATTGGCTCTTGCGGACGGATAGTGTTGAAAATGTATTTTTGTTATGTCTCTGGAATTAGACTAAAGGCCCTGCTCAAGGATCACACTGCACACCAGAGGTGTTACACACAGGTGTGCCGTGGTGACGAGATGTTAACTACCTCGCCTGGTATACAGGAGGTTGTGAGCTCGATCCCCATCCCTGACGCCTGTTGTATATTTAATTTGCGTGGTCGCATTGATTTTTCCCCGGGTCTTCCAGTTTTTCCCTCCACATTTAGAAATACACGTTGAGAGTATTTGGCTGCGATAAGCCACTTAGTTGAACTATAATGTGACCAGGTTGCATCTGAAAAGGAGCTACATAGCTCAGTGGGCCTTACCTGGCAAATAAAGAATAGTTTTAGTTTTTACAGGTGCTGACTGCAGCACACCGGCTGGCCAGACCAGACTGCCCAGCACCCCCTGCGCTGGCACCGTCCACGTCCGAGATTGTGTGGAGATGGAGCTCCGTGCTTGTGACGCAAGCGACGATATTATAAACGTTCCTTCTTCTCTCCGACGTCTCGGATGTGGGCGGGTAGTGAAGGGTCGTTGAAGAATTCTGCCAGAAGTAGTAGCGGGAGCCAACGATAATTATGTGTTGACGGCAGGAGTGACCAACACAACACAGGCAGAGAGAGACGGGTAGAGAGAGATATGTATGCCGAGTGTTGATGACGCTAATAAGTTAAAAAGAAAGACAACTAATGTGTATCTAATGGTTTTGCTCATCCACGATGTTAATGGTTGTGGTCTTACCTGCAGCAAACTCTCGAACGTCCTCGGGCTTTTTCAGGAATACCTCTCTGTAAAAAACACAACGTTTAATTTTTTTACAATTCGGCCATTCCACATCACAATATGTTCTCGGTGCATGAGGAATGAACGAGTGGAATTTGATACGAACTGGAAAGAAAAGACGACCGCCAACACGCGGTCGTCTTCTCGTTTGAGAAATGTCACATCGGTGTGCTGCACCACACAAACATTGTCAGCAGGCGGCAGTAATAGCGCGAGGCATACACACAGAGCCAAATAGGAAGGTCGTATGGCATCTTCGAGGTTGGATCAGCACTCGCCCGTCGTAAACGGAGAGTTATTTTGCAATTTTATTCCACGGCACTGTAGATTATGCTACGGTGACATTCCACTGGGCAAGATCCGTTACCGCGCACTTTGGGACCACTTGCTTAAGAGTGGAATCTATATATACAGCACAACATGGAAGTGGCTTCAGGTCCTTATAATATATATTTTAATAACATGGAAGTGGCTTCAGGTCCTTATAATATATATTTTAATATTAATATATTTTTTCTTTTAAGGCAGTGTCATTGACGAATGCGTTACGTTTCTTTGCAAGACTTGTCTCGCTGGGAAATAATGTGGTAATTTATGTAAAATCTTTAAGATGTAATTAGATTCCAAGGGACTAAGATTATTCACTTTATGTCTAGGGTTAATATAGAATTGGTTTCTATTGGGTTAGTCTTGCAAATATGCAGTGGGATTCCATGAGGTGTCAGTGCAGTACCGTAAATATTGGAATTGAAAAGCAAAACAAAAAGCGATGGTTCGAGGCAAGGTTAGGGCTAGTAACTTTCTCACCCACCCCGATAGGACATCTGCGAAAAAGAGCTTCATAGCTCAATGGATTATCCTGCAGGATAAAGATTCTGATTATGACATAACTGTGAGCTGGTTATTCAGTTGTATCGCTAGTTTGGTCAGATGGTGATCTATGCTCCCTAACATGTGGGTCCCCTCCCCTAGTGTCCCTTGCTTGTGAATGACTCTCTGTGAAGTGTCTTCACTTCCGCCTTACCAATATTTTCATCTCATTCCCTCCATGTCCACGCCTACTCTTCGCTCCCAGCCCGAATAAAAGGCCCACTTCTTCAAATTAGCTGATTGCAAATGTCCTGCTTTATGTACAGCCTCGTGAAATTCAGTTGCATTTCATCATAACCATCTATCCCAGAGTCACAATGGTTGTAGGGGTGCCACTGATGTTATGGTTGTCCTTTTCTATTGTTAGGCATTGTATGTTGGACTTATTTTCCACCGTATGTAGCCAACCGTGCTAATCGGAGGCGTGTGAAAGGTAAACAAACGAAATACAAAAAGTAGTTCTAAAGAATCAAAATGTAATAGTGCCTAGCTCCAGTGGCTTCCTAATATCGGAATGAAGATCGTTTCAGGCGGCCACAGAAGCACATCTGAAAACGCACGATGCAGTGACCATCTTTGTCTGATGGTTGGCCAAAAGCTGCTGCGAGGATGAACGGAGTTTGCATGATCGTTATGCTCCTTGATAAAATCAGCAGGGTATTGTGGTTCATTTGTGGCAAGCACTTTGTGTGTAATGAGTGCGATCTTATAAGGTATTCATTCGGCAACCGGAAGCCAACGCAGCTCAGCGAGCACTGGACACACATGGTCAGATCTTGCAGTAATGGCTCATCGTAAGCAGGGGAAATGTGTCTTTTTCACTTTTGGTCTAATTTTCACTCCTGTTCTCATTTTAACTTCAGGTATTCACAGCCGTACTTCAGGAAGGCCATGAGCAGGATCCGTATCTCGGAGTGCGAACGCAGGTAGCGCTCATCCTCAATGCGGGTTCGGACCTGTGGGCAGCAGACATGTGGATAGAGATGGGAAACACGCATGCACTGGTGGTCCTTAAACCCTCACAAACCCACATGACTCAAGTGCAGCACGAGTGACTCTCAAGTGGGTGGGTGGGTGGGTTAGTGAGAGGGCTGTGACAGGATGAGTTACTAGGTGTGGATGGGTGAGTGGTAGGTGGGTCAATAATTGCACGGGTCGATGGGCGAGTTAAGGAATAGGTGGGTTGTGAATGAGTAGGGGGGTTTGTGAATGGATGGGTAGGTGGGTCAGTGAATGAGCTCTTGGATTGGTGGGACTGCGAGCAGGTGAGCAAAGTTGCAATTGGATGGAGCAGGAGATAAGTGTGTGGGAAAATGGCAAAGTTGTAATTGGGTGGGTGAGGTGGTGAGTGGATTCATGAGCGGGAAAGTGGATAAGTGACTAGCAGTTTCAAATAAGTATTTAAAATCAAAACATTAACATAAACTCTACGTGAGTGCTAATAGAAACATTCCTCTCATGAGGAAAAACGATCGCTATTGGTGAAAATTTCACATTTCCACGACAGGGGTCAGGTTACCCATTTTTACATCTTGTTTTTATATTTCAACATTTTTTACCTGAAGGATCCATCGAGACGAAACCTCTCCGTGGCTAGGGTGTCCAGTGTCAGGTAGCACCACTGTCGACATTCCCACAAATTGTTACTCATTTTATTCCCCTGAGAGGAGGGTTGCCTGGCTGGGTCAGCCAACGCAGACCCCTTTCTCGAAGTGTGTGCGTGCGATATGAGGCAGGGCCGAAACGTCGCCTCTCGTCATATATTTAGTTTCCTTCTAAGGCCACAGCGCCATTGACGCACGTGTCGAGTTCGCTGCGGAACGGCCGCCTCTGACCACGGTTACTCTCGACATTGCGACGCTCCGGTGACAACATTCTCGTTGGCAGCGGTGCACACGCACAATGTGCTATTAAGGGCCACTGCGCGAAACGTCGCCTTTCACGTATTATATATTTTAAGTGCACATGAATTAGGAGTTCAAGGCAGAGGGACGTCACGAACAGGATCATTCATTGTGAGGCCCCCTGACAATGCACAAACGTGAAAACACTTCCCATCATCATCATCGTGCTGCTGTCAAACCCAGCAATGCTTTCAAATGTGGCGGCCCGCACCCTGGTCGTGTCGTGTCGGTGGCGCCCTCTGGAAGTGAGCTTAGAACGCTGCGCTCCAGCAGTGGTTCTCAACCTTGTCTGGCCACTGCTCTACTACCCCTTGTTGACTTTTGTCTCAACCGAGAAGCCCCCTGCCTGACCCGACATGGCTCTGAGAAATGCGTGTAACAATCAAGAAGACTTTAACCAACCACATAGGAGCTGCAAGCGAATAACAAAAAATGTCAACGGACGCTTTGCACGCGTGACGTCATTTGTTCGCTGGATCCAAAGAGTTGAGAAAGGTATTTTAAATCTTTCTAGATTACCATATGGATTTATTAAATTATCGTAATGATTTATATTGGCATAGTCACACGTGATTACTCACCAATGCCTCTCGTGTATGATATAATATCACGCGTTTGTTTATAAATCACCTCACGTAACCCCCCCCCAACTCCTCCTTGGGACATTGCCACGTTACCCCCAGGGGTTCCCCCCCCCCAGCTCGACACGATCCGCCCCGTGCGCGGCGCCCCCCTCCGCCACCTTGAGGGTCTCGAGCTGCCGCTGCTGCCGCTCGCTCAGAGCGCCGCCGTCTCTCGCCTCCATGCCGCGCACGGGCGGCAGTGGCGGTGGCGGCATCTCCGCCATGGCGCCCGTCGGTTGCCACGACAACGCCCGCCCGTGTGACGTCACTCGCCGCCAACTCGTTTGGGGATGACGTCATGTCCGCCGAGTTTACCATCATTTATTTGTTTTGCAGTGCTCCTGCCAATAAACTAAACGAAACAATTTTTTATTTTATTTTACTTGGTTAAGGCCTCACTGAGCTACTATATAGCTCTTACTCTTTGGTTTTTTCGGTAAAGTCACTCAGGTAAAAAAAGAGAGAAAAGCTGCTGATGCAGACTGCTTTAAAGGTTTAAACGAAGTGGGCAGGGCTATAGATGTGAATGTGAGAGATTAGCATGTTAATGTAAGATCGGAGGGCGACCTCCACGATGAGGGCGCGGAAGTGCTATGTGAATGTGAGAGATTAGCAAGTGAATCTACGGTAGGAGAGGACGAGGAAGTGGCTATGTGAATGTGAGAGATTAGCAAGTGAATCTAAGGTGGGAGAGGGCGAGGAAGTGGCTATGTGAATGTGAGAGATTAGCAAGTGAATCTACGGTAGGAGAGGGCGAGGAAGTGGCTATGTGAATGTGAGAGATTAGAAAGTGAATCTACGGTAGGAGAGGGCGAGGAAGTGGCTATGTGAATGTGAGAGATTAGCAAGTGACTCTAAGGTGGGAGAGGGCGAGGAAGTGGCTATGTGAATGTGAGAGATTAGCAAGTGAATCTAAGGTGGGAGAGGGCGAGGAAGTGGCTATGTGAATGTGAGAGATTAGCAAGTGAATCTAAGGTGGGAGAGGGCGAGGAAGTGGCTATGTGAATGTGAGAGATTAGAAAGTGAATCTACGGTAGGAGAGGGCGAGGAAGTGGCTATGTGAATGTGAGAGATTAGCAAGTGACTCTAAGGTGGGAGAGGGCGAGGAAGTGGCTATGTGAATGTGAGAGATTAGCAAGTGAATCTAAGGTGGGAGAGGGCGAGGAAGTGGCTATGTGAATGTGAGAGATTAGCAAGTGAATCTAAGGTGGGAGAGGGCGAGGAAGTGGCTATGTGAATGTGAGAGATTAGCAAGTGAATCTAAGGTGGGAGAGGGCGAGGAAGTGGCTATGTGAATGTGAGAGATTAGCAAGTGAATCTAAGGTGGGAGAGGGCGAGGAAGTGGCTATGTGAATGTGAGAGATTAGCAAGTGAATCTAAGGTGGAAGAGGGCGAGGAAGTGGCTATGTGAATGTGAGAGATTAGCAAGTGAATCTAAGGTGGGAGAGGGCGAGGAAGTGGCTATGTGAATGTGAGAGATTAGCAAGTGACTCTAAGGTGGGAGAGGGCGAGGAAGTGGCTATGTGAATGTGAGAGATTAGCAAGTGAATCTAAGGTGGGAGAGGGCGAGGAAATGGCTATGTGAATGTGAGAGATTAGCAAGTGAATCTAAGGTGGGAGAGGGCGAGGAAGTGGCTATGTGAATGTGAGAGATTAGCAAGTGAATCTAAGGTGGGAGAGGGCGAGGAAGTGGCTATGTGAATGTGAGAGATTAGCAAGTGAATCTAAGGTGGGAGAGGGCGAGGAAGTGGCTATGTGAATGTGAGAGATTAGCAAGTGACTCTAAGGTGGGAGAGGGCGAGGAAGTGGCTATGTGAATGTGAGAGATTAGCAAGTGACTCTAAGGTGGGAGAGGGCGAGGAAGTGGCTATGTGAATGTGAGAGATTAGCAAGTGAATCTAAGGTGGGAGAGGGCGAGGAAGTGGCTATGTGAATGTGAGAGATTAGCAAGTGAATCTACGGTAGGAGAGGGCGAGGAAGTTGCTATGTGAATGTGAGAGATTAGCAAGTGACTCTAAGGTGGGAGAGGGCGAGGAAGTGGCTATGTGAATGTGAGAGATTAGCAAGTGAATCTAAGGTGGGAGAGGGCGAGGAAGTGGCTATGTGAATGTGAGAGATTAGCAAGTGAATCTACGGTAGGAGAGGGCGAGGAAGTTGCTATGTGAATGTGAGAGATTAGCAAGTGACTCTAAGGTGGGAGAGGGCGAGGAAGTGGCTATGTGAATGTGAGAGATTAGCAAGTGAATCTAAGGTGGGAGAGGGCGAGGAAGTGGCTATGTGAATGTGAGAGATTAGCAAGTGAATCTAAGGTCGGAGAACGGTGTCCAAGACGACGGCGTGGAAACATCACAGCCAGTTGAGATTGAAACTGGTTAATAACGTCCTTCCAATGATTGCTCAGTTTGTACCCATCTTCTCGGTTGAAATTTTCTCTGTGCCTATTAATATGGATGGCTTCATGAACGAATCTTTGTTGATAGCCAGTGGGTTTGCAAAGTACCTGAGGAGAAATCAATTTCGTGTGAGCCCACCGCATTAAAACAATGATCAGCCACAGCCGAAGTATTGGTCCTATGGTGTTTCAGATCTGCCTGATGTTCACGAACACGGTCCGAGACATGCCGCTTGGTTTCCCCAATGTAACTACTGCCGCAGACACAGCTTAGTTTGTAGACGCTGGGGTATTGCAGGTCAGGGATCACATCCTTCACAGATGGGATCAGATCACGAATTTTATGTACTGTGTTAAATCGAACCTGGATCTTGTGTTTGCTTATAATTTTGTAGATCTTTTTGGAGACTCCTGCTATGTATGGCAAGGTGATGATTTTGATTGGGTCCTCAGATGGTTCTTTCACAACGGTTGGGGTGATAGCTTTATGGATTGTGTAGTCTGAATATCCATTCATCTTGAGAGCTTGGTGTACGTGCTCCAGTTCACTGGCTAGGTGGTGATGGTGGGAAATACATCGAGCTCTATGATGTAGAGTTTTGATGAGGGAATTTTCCTGGGATGGATGGTGGTGGAAGTCAGGATTAGGTAGGCAACCGTATGGATGGCTTTACTGTAGACAGAGTGCCCCGTTGAGCCAACTGGTCTCTTTTCGATTAAAACATCCAAGAATGGTAACTTGCCATTCTTTTCCACCTCCATGGTGAATTTGATGGCTTGGAGCATGGAATTGATGTGGGTGAGGAATTGGTTCAGAGCTGGTCGGCCATGTGGCCAGATGACGAACGTGTCATCTACGTATCTCTTCCACAAGGCCGGACGTAGTGTGAATGACTGGATGGCATCTGTCTCAAATGTTTTCATGACAACATTGGCTACAACTGGAAATAAGGGAGAACCCATTGGGGTACCTTCAACTTGTCTGTAGAATGTTCCATTCCAGGTGAAGTAAGTGTTGGTACATCAGGATTCAGTCCCTGTTGGACCAAGTCTTTAATGATTGCAATGGTGTCAGGCACAGGTACCTTGGTGAACAGAGAGACTGCATCGAAACTGACAAGCAAATCATCTGGAGATAGTGAGATGTCCTTGATTAAAGAAACCAAGTGAGCTGAGTTAAGTACAGCTGAGGTGGTCTTGCCTGTGAATGGAATATTGTTGCACCTGAGGACGATGGCTTGTGTTGCTATCGATACGTCGTGATCTATTATTATTATTATTATTATCTTTTTTTTAGCTCTTTTTCAGAAGCGACCTGACTATCGCAAACCGTATCTCGATGAAGTGGCTTATCGTTTGGACAGGTATAGCAGCCAAACTCTCTGACTAAACACGTGTTTATTTTATAAATAATTTTTATTTTACCAGGTAAGGCCCCACTGAGCTACACAGCTCTTTTTCAGAAGCGACCTGATTATCACAAATGACAGCTCAGCGAAGTAGCTCATCGTCGTGTGGAAATTAATAGCAGCCAAAGTACCCTAAATGCGTGTTGTTCATTATAAATGTGGAGGGGAAACCGGAGGACTTGGAGAAAATCCACGTGACCACGAGTATAAAGATACCGCAAACTCCAAATATACAGCAGCAGCAGCAGGCATCGTCAGGGTCGGGATCGAACCCACGACCTCCTGCACACCAGGCGAGGTAATCAACATCTCCTAGCCACCGCGATGATGAGAGAGAGACGCAAACTCCAAATATACAGCAGCAGGCATCGTCAGGGTCGGGATTGAACCCACGACGAAGTCCAGATTGCATTGTTTATCAAAATGTGGCTGGGTGAGAAGCCGCCCCTCACGAGGGAACCGCAAGTCGGGGTGACCGCCCCGGGCCCCGGCGCTTTGGGGGGGGGGGGGGGTGGGGGCGTGCTTCGACTTCACGGTGTCAGATGTAATGCTTTCGGTTGAGATTGAAGGCGTCAGGGGAATACCACACACGGTGAGATTTGACCAGCGGGCTCCGCACCCCACCAATGGACGGCCCTTCGCTCGGCTGCTGTGAAGAAGACCCCTTGCCCGAAACGTCGAATATTATATATTGTACTATTTCTTATAAGCCTACAACACATTGCCATTGACGAAGGTGTTGCGTTGTGTAATATGTGCTCGTGCACCATGGCCCGATTAGCACGGCTGGGCTACGTAGGGTGCGAAAGAAGTTGAACGCACATCAGCAGCATCGCCAAATAATTTATACAAATCACGGATCGCTGTTAGTTTCTAGTTTTTTAAGTTTCATGTATTAGGTGTAGCCCTGTGAGCCATGCGGCTCTTAAGTCGGGTGCAACCGCAACAAACAAAATATGAACGGAGAACATCTTAAAGCGACGACGCACAACAGAAACATCCTGGATAAACCAGCAAATAAAAAAAAAGCTGTGTGCAAAAATCCCTTTGTGATGCATATCAAACAATAACAACCATTATACAATTTAGAGTACCCATATGTTTTCGAAATTACCAAAATAACGCTATAAAAACAATGTAACAACATTAATCATAGCAATCAAGGTGTTATAGAAATAAATTAATTATGCTCGTGTTGCGAGGTCGAGAGCGACTCCTTTCGTTCATTTTCAGAGGGAGGCCTCTTTTGCCAATAAGACATCAGTGTGAGGGCCGCCACACATTGGAAAGCATTGGGGTTTGACAGCAGCACGGTGATGGTGATGATGGTGATGGTGGGGGTTGTTTACTCGTTGTGTGTTGCTGGGGGCCGCACGAAAGGCCACCAGTGGCCCGCGGGCCTTGCAATGAAGAACACTGATTTAGTGCCATGACACGGGTCGGATTCGTGTTAATTTCTCACTAACACAGCCACATCGC